CAGTCTCGCAAAAATGCAAATATCTCTCTACTCCGAGATCGTATCGATGAACGGTTTAATGAGTTGGAAATTAGACTCATCGATCTTTAATTTGGTTGGTAGATCACCCTTTAATTCTTTGTAAATTAGGAGAAAAGATTAGAAACATTTGACCTAATGTTTAAGTAAAATTATGNGAGCACAATGTCAACAGAATCCGCCCCTCGGGTAATATCATGGAACAACACCAGCCCCTCGGGCTATATCTCATATCACAATGGGTACACACGCTCATTGGGGGTGTACTCCTGGAGGGGCCCCTTACGGCCCAAACGCAATATCAAGTCATCTCGTGGCATACTCAATAGGCTCTCGGTCTCATATCAACAAGCCACCTCGTGGCGTACAATCTCAGGCCCTCGGCCTCATAATCATAAATTAATGTGTCCTCACAATATAGGCCCTCAGCCTTACTCAGCCAGAATCTTATAAGCCACTCGGGCAACAGTAAAACATGATGCTCAACCCAAATTATCATTTAAAATATCATTTAATGTGTTAAAACAGAGTAACCATGGCTGAGTTATGAAAACGGTAGAATATAGCATGACTGAGTACAAGTATAAAGTCAAAACAGTGAGGAAATATCAGTAAAATTCCCCTAAGGGTCCAAATAGTTGGCACAAGGCCCAAATATGGCATTCGGCCCAAAACACGATGATAGCAAATAATATTCAATCAAATACGCGGTAAAATAGTCATACGGGATGGACTAAGTCAGGATCCCCAACGGTGCACGATCCCACGCTCGTCATCTAACGTGTGCGTCACCTCAATATAGCACAATGATGTGCTATCCGGGTTTTCATACCCTTAGGACAATATTTACAATCATTACTCACCTCAATCCGATCAAAACTCTAGTCGGCGACGCCTTTGCCCCTTGAATCGGCCTCCACTCACGTCGAATCTATCCAAAATCAGAAGCACGACGTCAAAATATGCTAGGGGAACGAAGCCCAAGCGAAAATAATCAATTTACAGCATAAATCCCGAAATTAACCAAAACCCGACCCCCGGGCACACGTCTCGGAATTCGATAAATTCACATCAATAGATTCCTTATCTCCCCACGAGTTCATACATATCAAAAGTCCTAAAATCCTACCACAAATGGCCCCTCAAATCCTTAAGTCTGGGTCTCCAATACCAAGCCCTAGTTTCCCAATTTTTAACCCTCAATTTCCATTAATCTTAGGCCAAATCAGTGAAATAATGCTATAGATCGATTATTAGACTCAAAAATCTTACCTCCAGACGATATCCCTTGATTCCTTCTTCAAAATCTCCCAAAAAGCTCCAATACCAACTTGAAATGGTGAAGAACAACTCAAAATTGCGAAGGAATGATTTTATACCTTCTGGCCCAGGGATTTCGCATCTGCGACCAAAATCCCGCTCCTGCGGTACAGCTCCTGCGGTACAGCTCCTGCGGTCCACGAACCGCTTCTGCGGTTTTCACTTAAGTCTCTCAGCTTTCGCATCTGCGATACACAAGCCGCACCTGCGCCATCGCAAGTGTGGTTTCTTAACCGTTTCTACGGTTCCCGCCCTCCTTGCCTTTTTCCGCTTCTGTGACTCCAAGCTCACTTCTGCGAGACCGCACCTGCCGCAGGTGCGATTATGTCAGCAAAACCTCACGAGTCCATACATGAGTGCGGCCATCTGCCCCGCTTCAGTGATGCTAGTTATACTGTAAATACTTACTTTGATAAATAAAATATTTAATTACAAAAAAAAAAAAAAAAAAAAAAAAAAAAAAAAAAAAAAAAAGTACACACAATATAACACCTATTGCTACATAATTAAAGCACAGAAAATGAAATATCTGAAATACCCTTGTCGGACTGCAAGCTGCATGATCAGAAGTTCTTCAATGCCCCTTTTTAATACTCCCTCCGAATCCGATCGATTTAATGTATCCATTTAGCCTTTAAAAAAATAGTCCAAAATAAGTGTCATTTACAAAATCAAGAAAGCATTAGTTCTTTTTTTCCCAGCTTATCCTTGCTCTAATTATTGAGTGAACAACTTTCTAAACGTTTTAGGAGAGATAAAGGGCAATGTAGTCGAATAAGCCCTTTAATTAATGTTAAATGAATGTGTCACGCCCTAAAGAGACATTTAACTTTTAATACAAAAGCTAATGTATGCTAGTGAAGGGAACCACTCTAACTTGCGTAATGGTTTTTCAGTGTGACGATGCCTTATGTGCCATGAAAATTTTGGATATACTTTCTCTCTTGATCTTTCTCTTTTGTTTTCGTAATGCTGATAGATCTCCACCTCAGAACATAAGATTCAATTGATATGCTTGTACTCAGTCCAAGCTATAGCAAAACTCCAAAACATGATAATCCAATAGGAAGAAGAACTAATCATAAAACCAAAAGCACAACATCGAAAGTTCAGTTTAATACAGAAGTGAAAAGATCATTATACTTGCCTTATATTGATTCAAATATTGTTTCCCTTCTTTTTTCCCTCATGATATACAAGGTTCTTTTCTAGTGAACGATATGCTTGTATTATGATTTGGAACCTTCTCTACAAGTACATCTAATGAAAAAGTATGGAAGTTGTTGACCTTAACAACTTCACCCTGTAATAAGGACCTAAAAGAACTGCTAAAGTTGTTCACAATCAGCGGAAATCACCAGGCTTGCCAATTTTAATGTCCTGTGCAACTAAGAATTCAGTAATCGCATTCTTCTGCCAGCCCTTGAAACTCCTGCAACAATATTCAAGTATAACAAAATTATGTTACTCTAGTAAAAAAAAAAAAAAAAAGAGGAGAAAAGAGGCAGTCAACGCTTTAGGATATCCACTGAGATAAACAATGAAAATGCTGTTAGTGACATATGGTCCACCCTGTCCATCCCAAGGGCATATTTCAAGGTCAACACTTTGGCCTCATTTGTTTGCACTAAACGGAGGTCTGAATCTTAATCATTCAAATCTCAGACATTAAGTGTGTTTGTTTTTAAAGTCTGAATCTTAATTATTCAAATCTTTATCATTAAGTGTGTTTGTTTTTTTACTTCACAACCACTTAATGGGTCTGAATAGGTCTGTATGATTAAGATCTATAACAGAAACTCCAAAACTACCACAAACCACCGCCTCTAATCGGCATTCACCGGTTAGCCATCACCACCAACAACTATCATATTTTAAAAAACTATATATTTTATTGATAGAATATTGGATTAGTTAGTATTTCATTTGAATTATTATGTTATTAATTTGCAAATAAAAATAAATTTTATACATTCAGATGTTAAAAATCAAACAATCTTAATAATTTCTATTCAGATCTTAATACACATCTTAATATATTCAGATGTGTACTCAGATTCAGATGTCTTAATCTTAATACACATCTTGATATTCATATGTGTATTCAAATTCAGACGTCTTAATCTTAATAAAAACAAATGAGGTCAATGTCACGATGTTAATTTTACGGATGAATAACAAGCAAACCATTTGGAACTGAATCTAGCTCAGCAAAGACGATTTTACTGCCTTCACACTTCTCTTTCCGACCCGAAGTGAGCGAATTGCATTACCCACAGGGGCTTATAGTTTAATTAGTTGCAACGTACCGCTAATAACGGTATTATTGTAAGTTCGAGCCCCACTAAGCCTACAAAAGCACTACCTTGGCCATGCAACCCAAAAAGATAGAAAGACAGCTCGCTTGAAGAGAACTCTTTCAGAGCCTGATACCTGCCAAACCCCCTCAACTCACCACAAGAGTCAGTTATGGAATAGCCCTTTAATCAGCTTTCCCATTCTTAAGGACTATCTGGCTTTCGACGCACGAAGCAAATGAGCGTTGTGCCAGGGTAAGTTTTGGGGTGGGGAGCGAAGAGAGTGAAAAATTGGTCCGAGGAGATCGATTTCAACAGTCATCCAAGAAGTAGAAGAAGAGACCGTATTTTCAGCTGGATAGGGTTGGGGGGGCATTGGGGGCAATCTCCTCTTAGCTTGATGATGGAATCATTGTTGGATGGACGGGGTCATTTTGATCCAGAAAAAGGACTCTACGGAAAGATTTTATTGTTCTTTCCAGATAACAAATCATTAGAAAAGCTTACAATCTTCTTCTTTCTTCAACGTTAAGACAAAGTAAAACTAGATTTAGATATCAATACGTAGAGAAGAACAAAGTCTATCTAGCAGTGAAAATGAATAGTGTATGTAAATATGCACTCCATTCTAGAAAAGTGCAGGCTCTTCCATACTAAGATCATCCTCTCGTTGTCTATCATGTGATTCTGTTTCAATTTCAATAAAGAGAATGAAGGTGGACAGCTTGAAAAAGTTAAACTTACTGAGATGGTCACCCTTTGATGTAAAACAACTTTTCACCATCTAGTGATACTTGTGATATATCTAATTGGAAATTGGCATCTTTCTATTCATTCTTTTCGTAGTCTAGAACCAAAAGTCAAACTCTTTCAAATGAACTTACTTCTGATCAAGATGTGCCAGAATTTCTCCACCAGGAAAACCTGTTTTGGTAGTATCATATGCTGCTCTAATTGAGTCTCTCCAAGTCCCGGCAATATCTTGCGCGCTTACTTTACCTTTTGATGGACCAGGATCTTCCATTGGTAAGGAGTAACCAGAGAGAAGTTGGCCGACCCAACAACCATCCTTCCTGTGAGCGAACGAAAACAAATTTAACAAAACTTGTGCTGGAATATAGCTTAGGTTTCATTATGTAACAATTTGGATTACTTCATGCAGTTGATGTAAATAAAGATAAAGAATACATAATTTCCAAAGAGCAGCTGAAACAAGTCAAGCAGTTATATTATATTATCTGCTCGATAGATAACTTGAAAAGCAAAATAAAACGATGCAGCGAAAGAAACCTTTTAGGGGTCGTTTGGTATGAGGTATAAGTAGATATAGTGCTGGTATAAAAATTTAATACCACATTAATACTTTGTTTGGTTAGAAAACCTGGTATAAGCTATCCCGGGATTAAAATTAGTACCAGGATAACTTATACCTTGTAGGGGGTGGGGTAATTAGTGTCGGGACAACTTATTCCTTCTTCTTAGAAATTATGCAAATGTCATTTTTAATACAACATACTAAACAGTGGATAAAAAATAATACCAGGATAACTAATTCCAACGTAACTAATCCCAGCATAAGCCGTATTCAAACCAAACGACCCCTTACAGTTTAACTACGCCAAAGTTATAATGCAAATGATCATATATATTCCGTAGGTACCAAACATACTAGATTATCTTAAGCAAGCAACTGAAAAGGAGAGGAAAGAAACAATTCAATAACCAAATTACTTACTTTATCACATCCATATGTCGTGGCACATAATGTCCTCCACCAATCCCTAGAAGGACTTTGTTATTTGCAGATGCACTGGAAGACAATGGAATGACTTGTCAATTCAAGAGCATTCTGAGAACATCCTTTACAGAGAAATTAAATTAACAGCTAGAAATAAAATAACCATCACTTCAGGCTAGTCTATGTAGCTAATCTTGAACAGTTAATAAGGTGCAAAAACTGTGGACACGAAAACCATAGGACTGACAGAACAGAGATGAACAGAGGCTGCGTTTCAAAGTCAAAACCAGGAAATACAAAAGTTAGATAGCCTCCTTATTTTCATGCTGGTCACGGTGGACCATTTTACACATAAAAAAGAAGACCTTCTCATGCTCCATATATGATATCATATTCTGCTCCCTTGCAGCCTCATTAACAACATTTGGCCTATTGCTGAGCACTGCCAATGTTGTAAAGAAGAGAACTGCAGAAAGCTTGTGGAAGCTACGGGAGAATGAAATACAAGGTCTTGAAGAAACCAAAAATCCTTCTTACTTCATTTTTGTCCAATAATACCGCCG